TATCTACTCATATTCATGTAATTAAGCATTTTAATGATTTGGCCGATTAATCGATTAATAGAAAAAATAATCAACAGATTAATCCATTATTAAAATAATCGTTAGTTGCAGCCCTATTTGTCAGAGATGTGCAGTAAAGAAAAGTGTCATCCTGACCTGTTACTGGACAGGTACTGTCCGATCCGTTCCTGGTTGTTCCACAGCAGGCGGTGGAGGGCCAACACATTCCCATCACTGATGAAGGACAAGCTGTGGTTGACCGAGTCACTGGGTGGAGAGTCGGACGCTATGTCCAAGAAAAACCTGTAGCAGAGGGCAGAGAACATGATGCGGGTAAGTTAGTTCTGAAGTTCTCCAGGACTAACAGAACCAAACTACACGGACAGAAAGGACAGAGGCATGAGGCAGCTGAACAACTTGACCTATTTCACAAGATTTACTGGAGGTCACATAAACTTCTCTTCATCAAATATTACCATTATGTGTGGCAGTGCTGGGCGGTATACCGTTTTGTACCAATAACCGGTTTTTATTTTTGTTATGAAATGACTTTTCTGAATACCGGTGTAAATAGCCTGAACACGTGCGGAACGTTTCGTCGCGGCCGCCAGTGATCTGTTTACCTGGGGACATGTTCCCTTGCAGCACCGCTAAGCGCATTAGCATGCTAATGTTATTGTTGGAACAACTGGCGGCGGGGTGGTGAGTTTCAGCCGCTTATATGGTCTGACGTAAAAAAAAAACCATCCCGTTTTCACCATTGCTGAATAGTAAACAACTCTTCAGTGTTGTGCACGGTTAGATTTAATGCGTTACGTTAAAATGGAGACGTTATTGCATGGAGACACTAGCGTGCTTCTATTGTGAAAAGCCCGGGGAGGAAGTAGATTTGTAATGTAGCAAAGTTGACTGGTGTACAAAGTGAGTCATCATTTTAAGTTTTATTAACACACAATGATAGACCAGATGATTTTTTCTTAACCCTTCACGATCGGACCTAAATTCATGATTACTGTTTACAACTAGTCAAAGATGAAAAGACATACAAGAGGAGGGAAACAGTGATACAGAGGTGCAGTAAAAGAAAAAAGTTAATAAGTAAAGTTTGTACATTTTATTATCAGCTGAGCTGTGAGGAAAATAATACCGTCAAATACCATGAAACCGGTGCAATTGATGAAAATACCGTGATATAAAATTTGGGTCATATCGCCCAGCTCTAATGTGTGGTCAGCATACACTCACCAGCCACTTTATTAGGTACACCTGTCCAACTGCTCGTTAACACTTAATTTCTAATCAGCCAATCAAATGGCGGCAACTCAGTGCATTTAGGCATGTAGACATGGTCAAGACAATCTCCTGCAGT